CTATATCTGGTTATGGATTGTGTATTATTGCATCATTGTAAACAACTTATGTTCCAAATTTTTTGCTCCAACACCTTTACTTATTGAGTTATGATCGACTTTAGTAACAAAAACCATCAATTTTGATATATTGTGGATTTCCAGGTTCTAGCTAGAATATAATGATAACTGAGCTATATCTGCTTATGGATTGTGTATTCTTGCATCATTATAAACAAGTTATGTTCAACATTTTTTGCTCCAACACCTTTACTTATTGAGTTATGATCGACTTTATTAACGAAAACCCGTCAATTTTGATATGTTATCCATTTCTAGGTTCTAGCTAGAATATAATGATAAATGAGCTATATCTGGTTATGGATTGTGTATTTTTGCATCATTATAAACAAGTTATGTTCAACATATTTTGCTCCAACACCTTTACTTATTGAGTTATGATCGACTTTATTAACGAAAACCCGTCAATTTTGATATGTTATCTATTTTCAGGTTCTAGCTAGAATATAATCATAACTGAGCTATATCTGGTTATGGATTGTGCATTATTGCATCATTATAAACAAGTTATGTTCAACATATTTTGCTCCAACACCTTTACTTATTGAGTTATGATCGACTTTAGTAACGAAAACCGTCAATTTTGATATATTGTGGATTTCCAGGTTCTAGCTAGAACATAATGATAACTGAGCTATATCTGGTTATGGATTGTCTATTACTACATCATTATAAACAACTTATGCCCAAAATTTTTTGTTGCAACACCTTTACTTATTGAGTTATGATAGATTTTATTGACGAAGACCCATCAATTTTGATATGTTATCCATTTCTAGGTTCTAGCTAGAATATAATGATAACTGAGCTATATCTGGTTATGAATTGTGTATTCTTGCATCATTACAAACAAGTTATGTTCAACAATTTTTGCTCCAACACCTTTACTTATTGAATTATGACTTTATTAACGAAAACCCGTCAATTTTGATATGCTATCTATTTCCAGGTTCTAGCTAGAATATAATCATAACTGAGCTATATCTGGTTATGAATTGTGTATTCTTGCATCATTACAAACAATTTATGTTCAACAATTTTTGCTCCAACACCTTTACTTATTGAGTTATGATCGACTTTAGTAACGGAAACCGTCAATTTTGATGTTGTGGATTTCCAGGTTCTAGCTAGAATATAATGATAACTGAGCTATATCTGGTTATGGATTGTCTATTACTGCATCATTATAAACAACTTATGTCCAAAACTTTTTGCTCTAACACCTTTACTTATTGAGTTATGATCGACTTTATTAACGAAAACCCGTCAATTTTGATATGCTATCTATTTCCAGGTTCTAGCTAGAATACAATGATAACTGAGCTATTTCCGGTTATGGATTGTGTATTCTTGCATCATTATAAACAACTTATGTTCAACAATTTTTGCTCCAACACCTTTACTTATTGAGTTATGATCGACTTTAGTAACGGAAACCGTCAATTTTGATATGTTGTGGATTTCTAGGTTCTAGCTAGAATATAATGATAACTGAGCTATATCTGGTTATGGATTGTCTATTACTGCATCATTATAAATAACTTATGCCTAAAATTTTTTGTTGCAACACCTTTACTTATTGAGTTATGATAGATTTTATTGATGAAGACGCGTCAATTTTGATATGTTGTCTATTTCTAGGTTCTAGCTAGAACATAATCTTGTCCAGCCATATGTAGTCTTCTTCAGCAGTAACCAGTATACTTCCAACAATAGAGTGTCTTCTTCAATCAGTAACTAATCGTCTTCTAGCAATATATAGTCTTTGTCAAACAGCTTCCACTTCTCTGTACTGGATATGTTGTCTATTATTAGCAGATTTTAGTCTTTTCCAATGAAAATGATGCAAACAGAATGCAACAGAATCTGATTTTGTGCAATGATAATATTTTGCAATTCAACCAATACATGGTCATCGTCATCAGTCATCATATTTAGTTTTCTCAGAAATAAGTTGGTTTTAAAATTTCTATATATACTATTTTCTAGGTTACAGTAGTTGTATGCGTGAGACTATGGACAATTTTCCGATATTATCGATGTGGTTCGAAACAAACAAAGACGAGGAAGATGCCAACATCACATCGCGTCTCCCTAACACCCTTTACCCCACATATCTATTAATTAATTCTCTGTGTATGCGACGTCTACGTCGGAACACGACGTCCTATCTCGAATACTAAACTCCGAAGGGAGGTCGCGTTTATGTTCCCCTAATCTTTCTGCATCGGGAGTATAATTTAACCACACCGATGCCATCTCAAACCACCAGATGTACACGTCACACGAATTACCAACAATGATGTTACGAACGGAGAAATCTGTTACAATAACCTATATGTGGAGGATTAACGATTTTACCGGCGCATCCGCCAAGAATGTGTTTAAAATAATATTTAGGAAAATGAACTTTTCTTCGTTACTTCCGTAAATACAGATTTATATTAATTTTTGCTATAAACCTATAACTAAAAAGTTTGAACATGTTTTTCAGTTAACCTAATAAGTAAAGTTCGTAGTATGACTACAACAAATTGGAAAACTTTTCAGGTATTAATCTGGAAAATTCGCGAACAAACTTTGCAATGAAACAAAACTTTTATTTTATTCCCATATTATACTTACAGCAATAATATAATAAATTAAAGTTGTTTTTGTAGTTTTTAGGAAATCTCGTTACGAATTTAATAAAAATCCGTGTAGAGTTGTACGTTTTCGAATGGTAGCCAACGTAACAGATTAAGCGATAAATCAAAAATCAATCACACCGTGTTACAACCAGCTGTTGCCGAGGCTCAAGCCAAACGTTCCTGTCAAAGTTTAAAAGAACTCTGCAGGTAGCAAATTATACCAACCCCAATGCTTCGAAGCCCTCTTTTTCAAAGGCGTCGGGTTGAAACCCAGGCACAATTTGTTATACGTTCAACAAAGTTAAAAGTTTTTTATTTAAAAAAAAATTGCGCGTAAATTACATCAAAGCCATTTTTTATAACAATTTAATCAATCATTACAAGTTGAACTGAAATGAAATTAACTTTTTGCTAAATGGTTTAAAATTAACTACTGCAGCTTTTTGGTGTTAAACATTAATTTCTCCGAATTGGGTTGGAAGTGGAAAACAAAACCAGATTGAGGTTATAACAGACTATTTGAGGTTAGGTTGTACCAAATTTTAACTTTCCAAGTTGAATACTTTTGTTAGAAAAAAATTTTTAAATCACCCTTTAAATTTGACGATTCTTGATACTGAAATATATTTTTTTCCTAAATGGTTTGAAATTAAGTACTCCAACTTTTTGGTGTTAAAAAAGAATGTTTGAGGTTAGGTTATACCCAATTTCAAGCTTCCTGGATAAATTTTTTTTTATATAAAAATATTTAAAGATCGTTGATTACAATTTGACGTTTTTTGAAAATAGAATTAAAGAGAAGCATTGATTTTTCCGAATTGGGTTGGAATTGGAAAACGAAACCAGATTGAGGTTATAACAGACTATTTGAGGTTAGGTTGTACCAAATTTTAACTTTCCAGGTTGAATAGTTTTGTTACAAAAAATTGTTTAAATCACCGTTTAAATTTGACGATTCTTGATACTGAAATATAATTTTTTCCTAAATGGTTTGAAATTAAGTACTGCAACTTTTTGGTGTTAAAAAAGAATGTTTGAGGTTAGGTTATCCCCAATTTCAAGCTTCCTGGATAAATTTTTTTTATATAAAAATATTTAAAGATCGTTGATTAGAATTTGACGTTTTTTGAAAATAGAATTAAAAAGAAACATTGATTTTTCCGAATTGGCTTGGAATTGGTAAACGAAACCAGATTGAGGTTATAACAGACTATTTGAGGTTAGGTTGTACCAAATTTTAACTTTCCAGGTTGAATAGTTTTGTTACAAATAATTGTTTAAATCACCCTTTAAATTTGACGATTCTTGATACTGCAATATAATTTTTTCCTAAATGGTTTTGAAATTAAGTACTGCAACTTTTTGGTGTTAAAAAAGAATGTTTGAGGTTAGGTTATACCCAATTTCAAGCTTCCTGGATAGAATAGTTTTGTTACAAAAAATTGTTTAAATCACCTGAAATTAAGTACTGCAACTTTTTGGTGTTAAAAAAGAATGTTTGAGGTTAGGTTATACCCAATTTCAAGGTTCCTGGATAATTTTTTTTTATATAAAAATATTTAAAGATCGTTGATTAGAATTTGACGTTTTTTGAAAATAGAATTAAAGAGAAACATTGATTTTTTCGAATTGGGTTGGAATTGGAAAACGAAACCAGATTGAGGTTATAAGAGACTATTTGGGGTTAGGTTGTACCAAATTTTAACTTTCCAGGTTGAATAGTTTTGTTACAAAAAATTGTCTAAATCACCGTTTAAATTTGATGCTTCCAGGTTGAATAGTTTTGTTACAAAAAATTGTTTAAATCAACGTTTAAATTTGACGATTCTTGATACTGAAATATAATTTTTTCCTAAATGGTTTGAAATTAAGTACTGCAACTTTTTGGTGTTAAAAAAGAATGTTTGAGGTTAGGTTATACCCAATTTCAAGCTTCCTGGATAATTTTTTTTTATATAAAAATATTTAAATATCGTTGATTACAATTTGACGTTTTTTGAAAATAGAATTAAAGAAAAACATTGATTTTTCCGGATTGGGTTGGAAGTGGAAAACGAAACCAGATTGAGGTTATAACAGACTATTTGAGGTTAGGTTGTACCAAATTTTAACTTTCCAGGTTGAATAGTTTTGTTACAAAAAATTGTTTAAATCACCGTTTAAATTTGATGCTTTCCAGGTTGAATAGTTTTGTTACAAAAAATTGTTTAAATCAACGTTTAAATTTGACGATTCTTGATTATGAAATATAATTTTTTCCTAAATGGTTTGAAATTAAGTACTCCAACTTTTTGGTGTTATAAAAGAATGTTTGAGGTTGAATTATACCCAATTTAATCTTTCCTGGATGAACAGTTTTTTTATAACAATTTAATCACATTTATTGGATAAACCGGCGATTTTGAAACATCGAAATTAATTCTTTTGAGGCTATCGAGCGATTTACTTATTGTTGCTCTTGAAGGGTGCTTTTCTTTGGTTGTTATAAAAGCGATACCTAAGAGAAAATTATATTAAGATAAAGTAAAAATGAAGTAATTAATTTTTTCGATACCTTTTTCCGCATGATCTGGGATACAAATATACCAGGAGCAATACAAATAATCAGTGTTAACCAACCAACCAAATCGTGTAACTAAAAAATAACTAAAAAAAGATTTAATTAAATAGAATTTGTTAATTTAATTTAGTTTAATTAGTTTACTATTTTGCCAAACTATTTTACTCGCTGACGTGTTTTTAATTGGATACGACTTGAAATCAACACTTTTATTTTGCCTAAAAGTTAAAATTAAAGAATTATTTTAATAATGCTTAATAATTATTAACTTATCAACTCTCCATGTGCTGTGTATATTTACCATAACAGTTCCATTATCGTCTATTACAAGCTGATTGGTGTATGTTACACACTTCTTTTCTGCTTCTTTTTTCGTTCCAACGTATTGCCCATACCAAGTTCCCAATAACCTTTCTAAATTAACATTAGCAACAAGAGGAGGATTTAAACATTTATTTAAACCGTAACTCTTTATATTTCCAATAAACATAATTATTAAAATATTGCTTAAAAGATATTCCATGTTGAGTGGACTAATAATAACTAAATAAGTTGTTGTAAATAATTGCTTTGTTAACTAACTTTTTTCTTTAAATAACGAGGCGATTTTTTAGTTTTAATTTTTTTATTTGCGGTTAAAGAGAAACTTTTTAATATTATTACATATTTAAAACGTACAAAAGAATCACATAGTGGTCAATTATAACTGAGTTTTCTCTATCCAAAGAAAGCCTATCCAATTTTACATGGTCATGGAAAGTTAAATTTCAACGACCATACTTTATAAGAATGTGGTTAACAAAAAAAATGTCACACGATTCAACATTACTGCGTTTTATGTCATTGAATCGAAATTTAAAAAAGAAAGTTTTTTTATTTAAGGAAATGTTTAAAATTAATTCGTTGTAATTAATAAGTATTTATAATTAACTAAGAAATGTAATAAAAAATATAATAAAATAAAGGAGGAAGGGGAAGTGATATAAATTAGTTTACTAGAGACGTAATCCGCGTTAGTCATCGTTAGAGTTAACGAAGAAGTGAATCTCTCGCGAAAGATTTTAAGAAAGTGAGGTTCAGTTTGCGTGACGACGCATTCATGAGTCGTAACAAGTTCTTTCATTAATAAGATTTCGAAGTAATTTGGGTAAAATGAAATCCAAGGTATGTACATAAATGAAGATAAAAAGATACATCTAAAACCCAACTCAGCGTAAGAATGGATTATTCTAAACTCGAAGATAAACACTTCTTTAAGTGTGTTTAGAAAAGGCTAAGCTTAAGAAACGGCCCTTTTTGAATCTAAACTAACAGTTAGAGACTAAGTTTCTTGTGCTTTTTGTAATTACAAAAAATATTCAGATAAAAAGTTTTAATTAAATTGCATAACTTTGTTTCCAAAAATTACATCAGTTATTGATTATTAAGTAATGAAACTTTTTGGTGTTATAAAAGAATATTTGAGGATACGTTGCACCAAATTTTAAGTTTCCAACTTGAATGGTTTTTTTGCAAAACTATTGAGAAACAATCTATTAAAATTTGACATGTTTGAAATTGAAACTCAAGAAAAAAATGTTTTTTTCAAAAATGGTTTGGAATTAAGTAATGAAACTTTTTGGTGTTATAAAAGAATGTTTGAGGATAGGTTGTACCAAATTTTAAGTTTCCAACTTGAATGGTTTTTCTACAAAAATATCTACAAGTCGTCAATTAAAATTTGACATGTTTGAAATTGAAACTCAAAAAAAAATGTGTTTCTCAAAAATGGTTTGGAATTAAGTAATGAAACTTTTTGGTGTTATAAAAGAATGTTTGAGGTTAGGTTATACCCAATTTAAAGTTTCCTGGAAGAACAGTTTCTTTTTTATAAATAATAATAATTGAAGATTACTGATTTCAATTTGACATTTAACCAAAAATATTCATATCTCGAAAATGGGTTGGAATTGTGAACTAATATCTCAAGAACTAAAAGATATTTTTAAAATCGGTCTTTTTCATTCGAAAGAACATAGTTTTCTTAATAATATTTGAAAGTTTTGATTAAATCGGTTCAAAAGTCGATTTTTTACGATTTTTATAAAAAGAACCGGAAAAATTTCAATTTTTAAAACGATAATTGTAGAACCTCGCCCGCAAGTGACCTCGGCTTAATTAGGAAAAATACAATATTTAAGTTGAAGAATGTATAATATCGGTTTATTAAGATGTATTTTCGGCTTCTATATAATAATAATAATCAGTTTGGGGTTGTCATCCTTCTTGTTTTCGACGTAGTTTTGATTCAAAAAATTTTCAAATTGTTCTAGCATCTGTTTATTATCTATATGTTTGTTGTTATTAAATGTGTTTTATAAAAATAGATCGTTTATAGTCGCCTTTCGTAGAAATATAATCTTGTACCCAATTTTTATTGTTTTTGTATAAGTTATTAATCCCAAAGCTTATATGATTTCCTGTTTCAATTTTATTGTGACACAAACTTCAAAGATTAATCCCTCGTATTGTAAATAATTCCACGATTAAACGATTTCTATAATTTAAATGATCCGATTAAAATTGTAACTGTTTATTTACATTAATGTGATTCACGATTATGATCTGACTCCGAGAAAGTGCTCAACATCTGCCACTTTCCCCGGAGGAGATTATATTCTTTTTTAATAAAGATCTAATACTATTGACGTAAATTAACTTAAAAGCAAATGTGAAAGTTAACGTGTTTTTCTTTGATTTTCCAGATATCTATTTTATTAATAATCGTTCATTTGGAATTTATTAAGTTAGCCGAAATTAGAGATGGCATCGTGAGATATTCGAGTAATATCGTGCATGAAAATAAAATGCATCCAGATTTAAACGGGAAAAGTTACACCAATTACCAATTTGATGCAACAAATACATTACGTAAGAAAATTTATGATGAACCAAAATTATTTAACGTAGGATATACCATAACATTTTCTAACAACCAAGATGACTTAAAAAAAAATCCGAATGTTAGACTTGATGATGATATAATAATTGGTACAAGATCTAGAGATGATGTGATTACAATTCCATCTACGCAATCACCGTCTACGTCGGAAGAGATAGTTTTAAATGAATTTTTGGATGGGAAGAAACGGAAATTATCCGGGATAAAACCGAAATATTTTCGGCCTTTAACTCACGGTTTGAACCCGAAGCATTTAATAGCGCAGGCTAATTTATCACCAAAAACTCAATTAAAATTGGCCGAACTTCAAATTTCTGACGCAACAACTTCTAACTCCGTTATCAATAACGAAAATTCTGAATGGAAACCTTTAAGTAGTGGTGTTGAAATTTATCACAGCAATAACATTTACTCACCTTCCAATAAATTTTATCAAATTACTTCTAGGAATTCTAAAGGCTTCATTTTTCGGCAATAATTTATCAATAATAATTATAATTAAAAATCTTGTCCAAATTTTTTATCTCAATTGTTATAAAGACACTTATAATTTATCTTAAAGTATAAAAGAATATGTTACTCGTAAATAATTCAGTTGAATTTGTTTTATTGTAAAGAAATTAAAATGAAAATAAAAGTATTAATTTTATTTGTTTTTCTTCAACACGGTAAGAAATTTTTTGTGTTAATGTTGTAATAAATAATAAACACGTGATTATATTTGTAGTTAACTCATTTCCACATCATCGTTGTATGAATCATGCCGATTTAAACTGTGTTGAAACAACAACGGGACCAACAATGAGTACTCCTGAAAATCCGACCGGCACCACACCCGATTTTTCCGATTTGCTAGTAACCGCTACGAGAAGTTACGAAATAAAAGATTCGAGATAAATTACACACTCAATTATAATTAGTGTGATGTAATAAGTTAAAAAAAAACTTAAACTATCGCCAAAATAATAAACGAAAAAAATAAATTTTAAGTGTTAATAAAACATTCTTATCAACGTTGGTTTTATCATGAGTTTCAATTTACGACATGTCTAAACTTTAAGCAATAACTCTAAGAACTTACAATTAGTTACGAAAAATTATGTAATTCTATCTCGATTATGTCTTGATAGAAGTTAAGTTACAATTGGAATTATTTTGACACACACCAATAAGCTTCTCTCCTTTTTGACATCTTCGAAATTGTATCAAAAAACGGCAAAATCGATTATTTTTAATTCTTCCACGTTGATTAAGTATCCTACAGATGTTTTTGGCAGATTAGAACCATTTTGGTCAACACCAATCAGTACATTGCATAATCAAGAATTGTTGTATTCAGTGTTTTTTAATTGTTTTGTATTGATTAACCACTCTTGTGCCAAAGCTTTCTAAAAGTTTAAAAGAATCTTGTTTCAAATTTTATTCTTAACAATATTGCTATCTTGCACTTTTCTTCTTAGTTGAGTTAATATCGAGAAAAATAAGTAAATATGAAAATTTGCTGAATTTGTTATTGTTTGCAAAACGATTGTAACACTGAGGAATCTAAGCATATTGCAGAAAAACTTTTATAACAAAAGTTGTAACAAATTTTATTTTTAACAATATTGCTCTCTTGCACTTTTCTTCTTAGATGCGTCAATATCGAGAAAAATAAATAAATATGAAAATTTGCGGAATTCATTATTGTTTGTAAGATGTTGATGGTAACACTGAGGAATATGATCATGTTACAAAAAAACTTTTAGAACAAAAGTTGTAGCAAATTTTATTCTTAACAATATTGCTCTCTTACATTTTTCTTCTTAGATGCGTCAATATCGAGAAAAATAAGAAAATATGAAAATTTGCTGAATTCGTTATTGTTTATAAAACGATGGTAACATTGAGGAATCTAAGCATATTGCAGAAAAACTTTTGCAACAATAGTTGTTGCAAATTTTATTCTTAACAATATTGCTCTTTTGCACTTTTCTTGTTAGATGCGTCAATATCGAGAAAAATAAATAAATATGAAAATTTGCGGAATTCATTATTGTTAGTAAGATGTTGATGGTAACACTGAGGAATATGATCATGTTACAAAGAAACTATTAGAACAAAAGTTGTAGCAAATTTTATTCTTAAAAATATTGCTCTCTTGCACTTTTCTTCTTAGATGCGTCAATATCGAAAAAAATAAGTAAATATGAAAATTTGCTGAATTTGTTATTGTTTGTAAGACGATGGTAACACTGAGGAATCTAAGCATATTGCAGAAAAACTTTTGCAACAAAAGTTGTAGCAAATTTTATTCTTAACAATATTGCTCTCTTACACTTTTCTTCTTAGATGCGTTAATATCGAGAAAAATAAGAAAATTTGCTGACTTCGTTATTGTTTATAAAACGATGGTAACACTGAGGAATCTAAGCATATTGCAGAAAAACGTTTACAACAAAAGTTGTAGCAAATTTTGTTCTTAACAATATTGCAGTCTTACACTTTTCCTCTTAGATGCGTCAATATCGAGAAAAATAAGAAAATATGAAAATTTGCGGAATTCGTTATTGTTTGTAAGATATTGTTGGTAACACTGACGAATATGAGCATATTGCAGAAAAAGGTTTAGAACAATAGTTGTAGCAAATTTTATTCTTAACAATATTGCTATCTTGCACTTTTCTTCTTAGATGCGTCAATATCGAGAAAAATAAATAAATATGAAAATTTGCGGAATTCATTATTGTTTGTAAGATGTTGATGGTAACACTGAGGAATATGATCATGTTACAAAAAAACTATTAGAACAAAAGTTGTAGCAAATTTTATTCTTAACAATATTGCTCTCTTGCACTTTTCTTCTTAGATGCGTCAATATCGAAAAAAATAAGTAAATATGAAAATTTGCTGAATTTGTTATTGTTTGTAAAACGATGGTAACACTGAGGAATCTAAGCATATTGCAGAAAAACTTTTACAACAAAAGTTGTAGCAAATTTTATTCTTAACAATATTGCTTTCTTACACTTTTCTTGTTAGATGCGTCAATATCGAGAAAAATAAGAAAATATGAAAATTTGTGCAATTCGTTATTGTTTGTAAGATGTTGATGGTGACACTGACGAATGTGAGCATATTGCAGAAGAAGGTTTAGAACAAAAGTTGTAGCAAATTTTATTCTTAACAATATTGCTCTCTAGCAGTTTTCTTCTTAGATGCGTGAATATCGAGAAAAATAAGAAAATATGAAAATTTGCTGAATTCGTTATTGTTTATAAAACGATGGTAACATTGAGGAATCTAAGCATATTGCAGAAAAACTTTTACAACTAAAGTTGTAGCAAATTTTATTCTTAACAATATTGCTCTCTTGCACTTTTCTCCTTAGATGCGTCAATATCGAGAAAAATAAGAAAATATGAAAATTTGCGGAATTCGTTATTGTTTGTAAGATGTTGATGGTAACACTGAGGAATCTAAGCATATTGCAGAAAAACTTTTACAACAAAAGTTGTAGCAAATTTTATTCTTAACAATATTGCTTTCTTGCACTTTTCTTCTTAGATGCGTCAATATCGAGAAAAATAAGAAAATATGAAAATTTGCGCAATTCGTTATTGTTTATAAAACAATGGTAACATTGAGGAATCTAAGCATATTGCAGAAAAACTTTTACAACAAAAGTTGTAGCAAATTTTATTCTTAACAATATTGCTCTCTAGCACTTTTCTTCTTAGATACGTCAATATCGACAAAAATAAGAAAATATGCAAATTTGCTGAATTCGTTATTGTTTGTAAGATGTTGATGGTAACACTGACGAATATGAGCATATTGCAGAAAAAGGTTTAGAAAAAAAGTTGTTGCAAATTTTATTCTTAACAATATTGCTCTCTTACATTTTTCTTCTTAGATGCGTCAATATCGAGAAAAATAAGAAAATATGAGAATTTGCTTAATTCGTTATTGTTTGTAAGATATTGTTGGTAACACTGACGAATATGAGCATATTGCAGAAAAACTTTTACAACAAAAGTTGTAGCAAATTTTATTCTTAACAATATTGCTCTCTAGCACTTTTCTTCTTAGATACGTCAATATCGACAAAAATAAGAAAATATGAAAATTTGCTGAATTCGTTATTGTTTGTAAAACGATGGTAACACTGAGGAATCTAAGCATATTGCAGAAAAACGTTTACAACAAAAGTAGCAAATTTCATTCTTAACAATATTGCTCTCTCGCACTTTTGCTCTCAGATAAATAGAAACCAATTTTTTTTAAACCGTGTAATATTAAATTCAAAATTTGTATCGTATAATATCAAATCCGTGTTATAGCAATCGCAAATTTTGCACCGCTTTGACAAGTACCGTGTTATAGGAGGGACACCTGTATCAAATTTATATATCGGTAGATCTAGCGATAAAGTGGTAGGATTACCAACTTTTTTATACAAACCTGATCATGTAAACATTGAAAGATTTAGAGATTTTATTTGAGGTTGTGGTCTTAAATTTTATCAATGACTGAGTGAAGTCCATTGAATAAGAATTTTATTAACAGCATTAGTAACAATAAAGGAATTTTTTTGAGTCAATGCGTCGAATTATTATAAGTAATTGAAGAAGATGTCTTGAACTCAACATTTGAAGTTTTTGATTTTTAACGCAACGAATATAATCAAGACACGGGTCACTTATCTGAAACACCTTTAAAATGTTGAAATGACGATTTCGATTGAAATTATTTAATTTTTATTATTTTTTAATTGATTAAATTATTTTTATAAAGATAAGATCTAAAAAAGTAACTATATAAACTAAGCGCTCACTGTAAATAAGTGTAAGTGTTGTAGCGTTATTTGCTTTAGTGTTTGTGTATTTGACTAACTATCACGATGAAACCCTTATTTATACTTTTGGTTGCTTTATTTTCCCTTTTTGCCAACGGAAAGGGATTCACATCGAATTCACGCGCAGGTAAGTATTTTCAATATTTTTTTTTTGTAGTAAAAGGTTCTTTGTGATTATCCTGCGTGAATAGACAAAGTAATATTCTAGGCACTTTTTATTAAGCTAAACTTTGCGCTATATTGTTCTTACAGAATCTATTCAATGTTACGTATGCAACGATTTGAAAGATCCGTGCTCAAACGGTTCTTTTGATGACTACAAAGACAACATAGAAACCTGCGGAGAAACAACCACTACTACGGAAGAATCAACTACTACGGAAGCATCAACTACTACGGAAGCATCAACTACTACGGAATCAACAACTACTACGGAAGCATCAACTACTACGGAATCAACAACTACTACGGAAGCATCAACTACTACGGAAGCATCAACTAGTACGGAATCAACAACTACTACGGAAGAATCAACTATTACGGAATCAACAACTACTGCAAAAGAGACTGCCGAACCAATCATATTTGATCTGAAAGTTCCAACTATTCCTATTAGAAAGGATCAACTTGTATATCAATGTTACATTCAGAAAACGGATACAGGTAATTATTAAATCTGCTCTAGTGCTTTACTTTGATTTATGCGTTTTTTCAGGTATATTAAGAGGATGTAAGGAAAAGGCTGATTTTAAAACATGTGAAGACGACAAGAACTGCGAATTATGCTCTTCTAATTTGTGCAATTCTGGAATTGTAACATCAGGAACTGTGATCATGACGACGCTCTTAGGACTTTCTCTATACTTTGTTAGATAAAATTTAAAAAAAAAACGAAGCTTAATAGAATAATTTCATTAGAATAAGGGTAAAAAAATGTTGGAAGGAACCGCAACAAATTTCTGTGTAATATTGATGTATCGTAATTTTAATGTAATTTAAAAATAAATATTTTAAAATGTTAGTATTTTATTTAGCTATTCTTTCTTAATCATCACTGTGCTAATTAATAGTTAGAATAATTAATTTTTATCTCCTGCATAAAATACGTATAATAATAAGTGTAATAACAAAAAATAAAATAATTAATGTAATTTTTTACACCATCCATCACGGGAAGAATCGATTATCTGACATTTAAACAGCCTCAAGTTTTACTTAGAAAATTGTTTTTAAAATTTTTTTTTCTATTTTTTATTAATTCGTCGATTAAACTATTTTTATAAGATAAAATCTAAAAAATAGTATATAAAGCATTCGTTCATTCATCTCAAACAGTAGTGTTCCTTACATTTAGTGTGGTATATGACTAAAGTGTCACAATGAAACCCATAATTATTATTTCGGTCGCTTTATTTGCACTTTTCGGCAAAGGAATACAAACAAGAGTTATTACTAAACAACCAGATGGAATAATAGACACTATCGGGGCGAAAAATTTTACTGGAACAAAGGATACTTTCGGGCAAACAGATCGTATTGAAACAATACACACGATTTGGTCAAAAGATCCTACTGCAAGAAAAGACACTGTAGGGCAAAGAGGTTTTATTGGAAAAGCGGACTCTACAGGATCAAGAGAGCCGACAGATCCAACCGAGCCGACAGACCCAACCGAGCCGACAGACCCGACCGAGCCGACAGATCCGACCGAGCCCACAGATCCAACCGAGCCGACAGATCCAACAGATCCAACCGAGCCGACAAATCCAACCGAGCCGACAGATCCCACCGAGCCGACAGATCCAACCGAGCCGACAGATCCAACCGAGCCGACAGATCCGACCGAGCCCACAGATCCAACCGAGCCGACAGATCCAACAGATCCAACCGAGCCGACAAATCCAACCGAGCCGACAGATCCCACCGAGCCGACAGATCCAACCGAGCCGACAGATCCAACCGAGCCGACAGATCCGACCGAGCCCACAGATCCAACCGAGCCGACAGATCCAACAGATCCAACCGAGCCGACAAATCCAACCGAGCCGACAGATCCCACCGAGCCGACAGATCCAACCGAGCCGACAGATCCAACCGAGCCGACAGATCCGACCGAGCCCACAGATCCAACCGAGCCGACAGATCCAACAGATCCAACCGAGCCGACAAATCCAACCGAGCCGACAGATCCCACCGAGCCGACAGATCCAACCGAGCCGACAGATCCAACCGAGCCGACAGATCCGACCGAGCCCACAGATCCAACCGAGCCGACAGATCCAACAGATCCAACCGAGCCGACAAATCCAACCGAGCCGACAGATCCCACCGAGCCGACAGATCCAACCGAGCCGACAGATCCAACCGAGCCGACAGATCCGACCGAGCCCACAGATCCAACCGAGCCGACAGATCCAACAGATCCAACCGAGCCGACAAATCCAACCGAGCCGACAGATCCCACCGAGCCGACAGATCCAACCGAGCCGACAGATCCAACCGAGCCGACAGATCCGACCGAGCCCACAGATCCAACCGAGCCGACAGATCCAACAGATCCAACCGAGCCGACAAATCCAACCGAGCCGACAGATCCCACCGAGCCGACAGATCCAACCGAGCCGACAGATCCAACCGAGCCGACAGATCCGACCGAGCCCACAGATCCAACCGAGCCGACAGATCCAACAGATCCAACCGAGCCGACAAATCCAACCGAGCCGACAGATCCCACCGAGCCGACAGATCCAACCGAGCCGACAGATCCAACCGAGCCGACAGATCCGACCGAGCCCACAGATCCAACCGAGCCGACAGATCCAACAGATCCAACCGAGCCGACAAATCCAACCGAGCCGACAGATCCCACCGAGCCGACAGATCCAACCGAGCCGACAGATCCAACCGAGCCGACAGATCCCACCGAGCCGACAGATCCAACAGATCCAACCGAGCCGACAAATCCAACCGAGCCGACAGATCCCACCGAGCTCACAGATCCAACCGAGCCGACAGATCCAACCGAACCAACAACTCCAACTCCAGCAGCTATTAAATGTTACGTGTGTGAAATGTTGAGTAATCCGTGCTCAAATGGTTATTTTAAAGACAACACAAAAACCTGCGGAGAAGAAACCAGTACTACGGTAGTAACAACTACGAGAGAGGATGATCCTGAATACAAATGTTACACTCAGATAAGTGATGAAGGTAATTATTAAATCTGCTCTAGTGGTTTACTTTAATTTATGTGTTTTTGCAGGTATATTAAGAGGATGTAAGAAAAAGGCTGATTTTAAGGCATGTGAAGAGGATGAGAACTGCGAATTGTGCTCTTATGATTTATGCAATTCTGGAATTGTAACATCAGGAACGGTAATCATGACGGCGCTCTTAGGACTTTCTCTATACTTTGTTAGCTAATTAATACTTAGAATAATTAATTTTTATGTCTTGCACATTGTTATTATTTCAATAACTGTTATAACAAAAATAAAGTGATTAATGTAATTTGTAAACCTCTGAGTCGACAAGTCCTGTGGAGAACACAACTCCTGTTGAAACAACAACTCCTGTGGAGACAACAACTTCTCTTGACTTCGTTGTCGAGAAGCTGGATGGCCTCGATGTTGGGATGATCGTGCATTCTCTTCTCATGTTTAGATGCGAATGATACAATTTCTGATGACACCGATGCTATTTTCAAGTCATGATAGAGGTCGGTGTTTCTTGTAACTATACACCTTAGTACTTTGTTCTGGAATCTTTGATCAATCTTGCATTTGTCTTGCAGGTACAACCCCACAGTTGGATAGGTGTCTAAATTTGATATCAAGTTCCTCCCGTTTTTCGTTGACGTGAGCTTTCCATTTGAGTTTGGTATCCAGCGTCAGACCTCTATTGCATGGTTCAGTTCTCTTCCTTTTGTATTTATCAAACACTAATGACAATATACGGCTTTTATGCTAAATTCTATCTAACTTTGCTAATGACACATCTTCACGTCGACACGTCTTGTCGCCATCTACCTTTCTTAACCTCTAATTTATAAAGTACCGCGGTTTGCCGCCATTTTGGCTGAAAAAAATGTTGAAATTAAACTTACATTTTCGTATAACCTAATGATATCAAAAAAGGTGCTAATTTAAAAATTCCTGGAGGCCGTATTTATTGAAATTAAGGAATGAAACTTATTCTAAATTAAAGCTCAAAGCTTTCTCTTTAAAATGATGTATAATAATCGTTGGGTTGGATTGGAAAAATATTGAGAAAAAAAATGTTGTAATGAAACTTACATTTTCGTATCACCTAAAAGTGTCAAAAAAGATGCTAATTTAAAAATTCCTGGAAGCCGTGTTTATTGAAATTAAGGAATGAAACTTATTTTAAATTAAAGCTCAAAGCTTTCTCTTTAAAATGATGTATAATAATTGTTGGGTTGGATTGGAAAAATATTGAGAAAAAAAATGTTGAAACAAAACTTACATTTTCGTATAACCTAAAAGTGTCAAAAAAGATGCTAATTTAAAAATTCCTGGAAGCCGTATTTATTGAAATTAAGGAATGAGACTTATTCTAAATTAAAGCTCAAAGCTTTCTCTTTAAAATGATGTATAATAATTGTTGGGTTGGATTGGAAAAATATTGAGAAAAAAAATGTTGAAACAAAACTTACATTTTCGTATAACCTAAAAGTGTCAAAAAAGATGCTAATTTAAAAATTCCTGGAAGCCGTATTTATTGAAATTAAGGAATGAGACTTATTCTAAATTAAAGCTCAAAGCTTTCTCTTTAAAATGATGTATAATAATTGTTGGGTTGGATTGGAAAAATATTGAGAAAAAAAATGTTGAAACAAAACTTACATTTTCGTATAACCTAAAAGTGTCAAAAAAGATGCTAATTTAAAAATTCCTGGAAGCCGTATTTATTGAAATTAAGGAATGAGACTTATTCTAAATTAAAGCTCAAAGCTTTCTCTTTAAAATGATGTATAATAATTGTTGGGTTGGATTGGAAAAATATTGAGAAAAAAAATGTTGAAACAAAACTTACATTTTCGTATAACCTAAAAGTGTCAAAAAAGATGCTAATTTAAAAATTCCTGGAAGCCGTATTTATTGAAATTAAGGAATGAGACTTATTCTAAATTAAAGCTCAAAGCTTTCTCTTTAAAATGATGTATAATAATTGTTGGGTTGGATTGGAAAAATATTGAGAAAAAAAATGTTGAAACAAAACTTACATTTTCGTATAACCTAAAAGTGTCAAAAAAGATGCTAATTTAAAAATTCCTGGAAGCCGTATTTATTGAAATTAAGGAATGAGACTTATTCTAAATTAAAGCTCAAAGCTTTCTCTTTAAAATGATGTATAATAATTGTTGGGTTGGATTGGAAAAATATTGAGAAAAAAAATGTTGAAACAAAACTTACATTTTCGTATAACCTAAAAGTGTAAAAAAAGTTGCTTATTTAAAAATTCCTGAAAGCCGTGTTTATTGAAATTAAGGAATGAGACTTATTTTAAATTAAAGCTCAATGCTGTCTTTTTAAAATGATTTAAAATGAGTGTTTAAAACTACCGGTACTTTAAAGTATCGTCCGGACATAAGGGGTTAATTGACTTGGTCCTTTTTAGCTCCAAATTTAGTTTAATTGATATTTTTTGTAATTCTTTTTGTATGTAATGGGGTTAATACATATATATTATTATTACTGTTATATTCCTGAAACAACAACAGTCTTGTTAGATAAAATTCAAAACTTAGAACGTCGAAATTTAAGTAATCCAGTTTACTAGAATTAGAGATAAGCAATTTTTAATCGGCACTGCGATACATTTTTAACATATAACATAAAATAAACTTGAATTTTGTATTTTAACAGTTAGAATTGTCAACGGGGAACAAATAATCATCACCAATCATAAGTCCCGCTTTTATAATTGCATTTCGGGCATTTTCTAAAACTTCAAAAGTCGGATTTTTATCTCTGGTACAAAAAAACATGATCCCTGTAATAAAAACAAAATATAACAAGACTTAGAAAGTAATATGTTGGGAAATAATCGCTATTACCATCTTGTTTATGTCCATTTTTACATAAAAAAAATACGGAGTACGATGAATAATCAGTACCAATTATCCAAACACTACTTGGAGCTAATAAAGATTTAAGTTAAGAAATATATTTTTAATTGGAATTAATTCTTACGAAATTCCTTCGATTCTCCTACATATTCAGATGTTGATTTTAATTGGGTTAAAGTAACGACGCAGTGATCTAGTTCGCTAAAAAAATAAAATAAAATCATTTTTGGTGGATTAATTTGTGTAAGATTTTTTACCCATCAATAAACCCAGCTTCATCCAATGTTAATTGATTTTCTTGGGCTGTTATTGTAGCCACCATACACGCTTTTTTACTTTTTTCCTCATTTCCAGTGTATTGGACATTCCAAAAACCCACCATCTTCAATAAAAATTATTTCAAAAAAAATTGATTTGTTTTGTTTTGTTTAACTTACTTTTGTTGCGTCATAATTATCAATCAAGGGTATTTGACGATTACATTGAGGCACATCACCACATGCAATACTTAATATTATTGCAACACAAGAAATATATAAGATTGTTTTGTTGCACATAATTTTATGGATTTGATTTTGCGATGTGAATCTCTTTAAATATATATTTTTTAACTTGATGCAAATTGCTCGTTTCCTTTAGAAATTGTGGTCTTTAATAGACGTTAATAAGTGTTTTTTTGTTGATTTTGAATGAGTTTGCGTGTTAAACATATCTCTATAATTAAAAATATTAAAACGTGTAATCATAAATAATAATTCGAGCTAACAAGTTAACATTTTGTCGAATAAAAAAGTCGAAATGGCCCGTAAATGGAAATCCGGATCCAGTAGACTGCGGACTGCCGATAAAACACAAAGGCTCCTTGATTATTCAACACATGTTCCCGTACCGACGTCGAGTGGCGCAAGAAAATTGGAAATTCATATTGCCGCACTCGAAATACAAGACTAAATCCGGCAAGTACACCCCTAAAGCGACCGTTTGGCCGCCCTCATAACGCATTCAGTACGGATAATCGAGAATTAGAATATCCAGGGTCGGACTGTGCGCTCCCCAAACTGCTCCCCCGTGTATACCAACCCAACCGAGAAGCCATTGTATTTGCCAACTTCCACTGGATCTACGTTATCTTCATGTACAGAGATACGAGAATCTTCGTTAAATTTTGTAAATAAAAATTGAATGGAAACAAAAAAAAGTACAATTCTTGTTAATCTGACGAAATAGGATTAGTGTTCCAATAATAACTTTATTTACTTAGGTGTAAAACGACCAACAAACATACTTAAACTTTTTACTTAAATTTTAAGTAAATAAATACTTGATGATAGATAAAGATTAATTTAAGATAAAAAGAATGTTTCATATTGACTCAAAATTCCATCATCATCGTTCATAGATAAACTCGGGGTATTCCCCGAGTTGTTTATAAATCATTAGTTTTAATTGTTATTCAGCCCTAAATTGTTTTATATTTTTATTGAATTAAAACTAGAAATATTCGCAATATATACGATTCTTTAAAGTTCAATTTTACAAATTTTTAATAATAAAGCATACAGAGTTTGGTTTAAAACAACATAAAATCGGTGTTTATGGAAAATAAGAAATTATTTATGGCACATTAATTCGTTATTAAATTTGATTTAAAATGATCGTTATTTCGTCACAATATCTCAATTCGTTCTTAAGATACGATTCTTTAAAGTTCAATTTTGAAAATTTTTAATAATCAACCATGCAGAGTTTGGTTTAAAATATCATAAAATCAGAGTTTATGGAAAATAAGAAATTATTAATGGCACATTAATTCGTTATTAAATTTGATTTAAAATGATCCTTATTTCATCGCAATATCTTAATTTATTCTTAAGATACGATTCTTTAAAACTCAATTTTCCAAATTTTTACTACTCAACCGTGCAAAGTTGGGCTTAAAAATTCATAACATCGGTATTTATGGAAAATAAGAAATTGTTTATGGCACACTAATTCGTTATTAAATTTGCTTTAAAATAATCGTTATTTCATCGCAATATCTTAATTCGTTCTTGAGATACGATTCTTTAAACTTCAATTTTCCAAATTATTATAATTAATCATGCAGAGTTGGATTTAAAACATCATAACATCGGTATTTATGGAAAATAAGAAATTATTTATGGCACATTAATTCGTTATTAAATTTGCTTTAAAATGATCGTTATTTCATCGCAATATCTTAATTCGTTCTTAAGATACGATTCTTTAAAGTTCAATTTATCAAATTTTCAATAATCAACCATGCAGAGTTTGGTTTAAAACATTATAACATCGGTGTTTATGGAAAATAAGAAATTATTTATGGCACATTGATTTGTTATTAAATTTGCTTTAAAATGATCATTATTTCATCGCAATATCTTAATTCGTTCTTAAGATACGATTCTTTAAAGTTCAATTTTTCATATTTTTAATAATTAATTATGCAGAGTTTGGTTTAAAACATCATAAAATCGGTGTTTATGAAAACTAAGAAATTATTTATGGCACATTATTTCGTTATTAAATTTACTTTAAAATGGTAGTTATTTCATCGCAATATCTTAATTAGTTCTTAAGATACGATTCTTTAAATTTCAATTTTCCAAATTTTTAATAACTAAGTATGCAGCGTTTAGTTTAAAACAACATAAAATCAGTGTTTATGGAAAATAAGAATTTATTTATGGCACATTAATTCGTTATTAAATTTGATTTAAAATGATCATTATTTCATCGCAATATCTTAATTCGTTCTTGAGATACGATTCTTTAAACTTCAATTTTCCAAATTATTATAATTAATCATGCAGAGTTGGATTTAAAACATCATAACATCGGTATTTATGGAAAATAAGAAATTATTTATGGCACATTAATTCGTTATTAAATTTGCTTTAAAATGATCGTTATTTCATTACAATATCTTAATTTGTTCTTAAGATACGATTCTTTAAAGTTCAATTTTTCATATTTTTAATAATTAATCATACAGAGTTTGCTTTAAATCATCATAAAATCGGTGTTTATTGAAACTAAGAAATTATTTATAGCACATTAATTTGTTATTAAATTTGCTTTAAAATGATCGTTATTTCATCGAAATATCTTAATTTGTTCTTAAGATACGATTCTTTAGAGTTCAATTTTCCAAATTTTTAATAATTAATCTTGTAGAGTTTGGTTTAAAACATCATAAAATCGGTGTTTATGGAAAATAAGAAATTATTTATGCCACATTAATTCCTTATCAAATTTCCTTTAAAATGTTCGTTATTTCATTACAATATCTTAATTCGTTCTTAAGATACGATTCTTCAAAGTTCAATTTATCAAATTTTCAATAATCAACCATGCAGAGTTTGGTTTAAAACATTATAACATCGGTGTTTATTGAAAATCAGAAATTATTTATGGTACATTAATTCGCTATTAAATTTGCTTTAAAATAATCGTTATTTCATCGCAATATCTTAATTCGTTCTTAAGATACGATTCTTTAAAGTTCAATTTTACAAATTTTTAATAATTAATCATGCAGAGTTGGATTTAAAACATCATAACATTGGTGTTTATGGAAAATAAGAAATTATTTATTGCACATTAATTCGTTATTAAATTTGATTTAAAATGATCATTATTTCATCGCAATATCTTAATTCGTTCTTAGGATACGATTCTTTAAAGTTCAATTTACCAAACTTTCAATAATCAACCATGCAGAGTTTGGTTTAAAACATTATAACATCGGTGTTTATGGAAAATAAGAAATTATTAATGGCACATTGATTTGTTATTAAATTTGCTTTAAAATGATCGTTATTTCATCGAAATATCTTAATTCGTTCTTAAGATACGATTCTTTAAAGTTCAATTTATCAAATTTTCAATAATGAACCACACAGAGTTGGGTTTAAAACATCATAACATCGGTGTTTATGCAAAATAAGAAAATATTTATCCCACATTGATTTGTTATTAAATTTGCTTTAAAATGATCATTATTTCATCGTAATATCTTAATTCGTTCTTAAGATACGATTCTTTAAAGTTCAATTTATCAAATTTTCAGTAATCAACCATGCAGAGTTTGGTTTAAAACATCATAAAATCGGTGTTTATGGAAAATAAGAAATTATTTATGGCACATTAATTCTTTATTAAATTTGCTTTAAAATGATCGTTATTTCATCGCAATATCTCAATTCGTTCTTAAGATACGATTCTTTATGATTCAATTTTACAAATTTGAATAATCAACCATGCAGAGTTGGGTTTAAAATATCATAACATCGGTGTTTATGGAAAATAAGAAATTATTTATGGCATATTAATTCGTTATTAAATTTGCTTTAAAATGTTCGTAATTTCATTTCAATATCTTAATTTGTTCTTAAGATACGATTTTTTAAATTTCAATTACAACTTAAAAATTCATACGATGAGTTAAGGTTTGAAACGACTCAAAACGTTTATAAGTAAATAGTGGTGTTATCTCAACTGCGTTGATGATTTTTTTGACAAGTTCTATGTGGGTAATAATTAATTTTCTAATAGATTACATTAACAGAAATACTATGTATATTAATTCCGCTTTGTCGAGCAAAAGAAGGTTTTTCGCCTATTCAGTAACTTTGGTGATTTACTGGCGACGATAACGCTATCGCTGCGTTATTATTATTATACGCCGTTGTTGTCGTCACAAAAGCCTGATATATCTTTGTCTGGTAGAACTGCAAAGTAACCGTCCCCTTATTCAATGTCACGGTTAAAGGGTGTCTAATCACTTAATTAATTCAAGCGGCGATGTTTGTTCTTTATCAAACTATAACGCCAAAATTTAAAAAATATCGGTATTATTATTCAGAGGGTTTAATTTTAGAATGGTTCTTGAATGATGATAACTCATTAGTGTTCTCCACCTGTGCAGATAGTTTTCGATCGTTTTCCATTTTCCTCGCCTTAATGAGACAAAAGCTCCCTTTCACGAGCAGAACTTTGTTTTATAATTTATTGGACGCGTACTCGAACGTTTCGGTGGCGCCACCCGCGGTGCCGCGCGAAAACGATGCACACATAAATTTTACCGTGAAATACGGCGGTTGACGGGCGTATTTCGTTCTACGTGGACAATAAATTCACCAACCATCTTATCTTCTAACTTCAACTTGGTGTATACTACCTAGAAAAATAGTACAAAACCTCGAAATAACTGAACTAAACTAACACGTTATAGGCAAAAGCTGCTACATCCCGAAGGCCCGTTAGTGACGTCACGCATCTATAGGCAACTACTATGTCACACTTTGAATTAGTACATGCTTAATTTATTATATTCGTTTTTTCATCAGGATCGATTTTTAAACATAACTCTGTGCTCTTAATTATTGAAAGTTTGGAAAATTAAACGTTAAAGAATCGTATCTTAAGAACAAATTAAGATATTTCGATGAAATAACGATCATTTTAAAGCAAATTTAATAAAGAATTAATGTGTCATAAATAATTTCTTATTTTCCATAAACACCG